TTACTACTAAAATTACATTCCATGTATTCAGTTTTAGTTCTACTTAAACGAAGGCCTTTAGACTCCAATGTAGACCTCCATAATTCAAGTTTATCCTGGGCTTTTTCTCTCGTTTTATCCACGAGAAGAATATCATCAGCAAAAAGCATACACCAAGGTACATCCTCTTGTAGATGTCCAGTAAGATCATCCATAACTAAAGAAAAAAGATATGGGCTTAAAGTCAATCTCTGATATAATCCAACAGAAATAGAAAAATATTTGGTCAATCCTCCTTCAGTTTGAACACAAGTAACAACTCTAGGATCTCCCGCTTCCGCCTCCTATCTTTCGCGAAACGGCGTCAACTACCGATCATGCTCCCGATAGCAAAACTCGCGAACCGCTCCCTCGCTCGGCCACAAACTGTTCCCGCGAATCTTTCGTTATTCCGCAAGAGTTGCGCCTGTCGCGTAAGTTCATTCTTGTTCGTGATAAAGGCTTCGAATGGCTCTCCTTGGGTTTTGTAAGTCACGATTTTTGTGTTTCTTCTTGAGTTTCTTCGAAATAGAGGAAGAGTTATTCGGGGTTCCACAGGACAATGGAAGATAAGTGCAAGGAGGAATAGTTCCTTGCGTTAGAGGAAGAAGAAAGAAAAAGAAGAAGATTGTTCTTCCTTAGTTTATTCTTGGTGGTTTGTGGCTGAAAAGAAATTGAGTTTATTTCTCTTGTAAGTTTATCTTCTTCGGTGTATCTCGGTGTACAGTTTATTTGGTGCATCTCGATGTAAAGAGAGAAGAAGAAAGAGCAACGAAGTGAGAGATTCCTCTTGTAAGTTGAGGTAATCGACTGGTGTAAATTCCTCAAGTAATAAAATCTTCTGCAACTCCATGGACGTAGACAATTTGCCAAACCACGTAAATTTGTGTGTTTCCGCTGTGTTACTGTTTTCTGGTGTGAATTTTTCTTGTTCTATTTTTCGCTTCGTCGATCGTTCTCTTGTTTGATTTATATATATACCACATCAATTGATATATTTTATCCCAACAACTGGTATCAGAGTTTTGTTCGGATCTGAGGAAGACGATGACTGCAGATGAAGTGAAGGTTTCAGAGATCGAGAAATTTGATGGCATAAATTTTGATTATTTGAGAATGCAAATAGAAGACTACCTATATGGGAAAAAACTTCATCTTCCGTTATTGGAGAAAAGACCTAAAAAGATGAATGAGGTTGATTGAAATTTGTTGGATCAACAAGTTCTATGGGTCATTCGATTGGCTCTATCGATGTCTGTTGCACACAACGTCGTCAAGGAGAGGACGACTGCATATCTCATGACAATCTTAACAGATATGAATGAAACGTCATCGGCGAATAACAAAGTGTACTTGATGAATAAGTTATTCAATTTGAAGATGGCGAACGTGTTTCTGTTGCTCAACTCATATTGTTCCACAGAGAGATGGTGGAGAACTACAGAGCTATAAAGAAATCTTGCAAAAAGAAAGTTCAAGCAGTGGGAGCTGACAGAACTTTCACCAGGGAATAAGATATTACACAACAAGGTGTACCAGGTGAAGACTGAGCATGATTGTAGTAAGAGGTACAAGGCTGGATTTGTTGAAAAAGACTTTCAGCAGAGACAAGATATTGCCCATGTAGTGGAAGTTGTAAGAAAAAATAAGAGTAATCTAGAAAATAGCTTAGAGGTGCAAGAGTATTTGGACCCTGTTAATATGTTGACTGAGGGTGTTACTCCTGAGAAACTGAAGCTGTGCACAGTTTTAGTTGGTCTTTTGGATTGAAGACAGAGACTTTGAGTTGCAGTTGTGGAGGATTCATGCATGAAGAAAAGAACGACGCTGCCAGTGGATGATATCGGTTCAAGAAAGAAGAAGTTGTAGCTTGTGTATCGGTCTCCAAGTAGGAGATTGTTGGCACTGGAGACTGATCTCCCGCTCTCGCCTCCTATGTTTCGCGAAACGACGCCAACTCCCGCTCCCGATCGCAAAACCCGCGATCCGCTCCCACGCTTGGTCACAAACTGTTCCCGCGAACAGTTCGTTATTGCGCGAAGAATCGAGTCTGTCGCAAAAGTTCCTTCTTGTTCGTGATAAAGACTTTGGATGGCTCTCCTTGGGTTTTGGAAGTCACAATTTTGTGCTTCTTTTTCGGGTTTCCTCGGGATAGAGGAAGAGTTATTCGGACTTCCACGGGACAGTGGAAGAGAAGTGCAAAGAGGAGCATTTCCTTGCGTTAGAGGAAGAAGAAGAAAGAAGGAAAAGAATATTGTTCTCGCTTGGCTTCTTCTTGGTGGCTTGTGGCTGAAGAGAAATTGTGTTTATTTCTCTTGTAAGTTTATCTTCTTCGGTGTATCTCGGTATAGAGTTTCTTCGGTGCATCTCAGTGTAGAGAGAAAAGAAAAGAGAGAGAAGCAGAGAGAGCAACGAAGTGAGAAATTCCTCTTGTAAGTCGAGGTGATCGACTGGTGTAAATTCCTCAAGTAGTAAAATACTCTGCAACTCTGTGAACGTAGTAAATTTGTCAAACCACGTAAATTTGTGAGTTTCGTTGTGTTACTATTTTATGGTGTGAATTTTTCTCGTTCTATTTTTCGTTTTGTCGATCATTCTCTTGTTTGATTTATTTATAGACCACACAAACTGGTATATCTTATCCCGACAACAATATCAACACCTTTCTTCTCAAGAACTCTCCAAGGAATATCTCCTGAAACCTTATCATAAGTTTTTTTTAAATCAATAAAAATCAAATGTAGATTCTCCTTATTATCTCTAAACTTCTCCGTCAAACCTCTCAATAAATGTATAGCTTCTATAGTAGACCTGCCCAACATAAATCCAAATTGATTATGAGAAATCTTTGT